CTAGAGAAAATCCAAACTTGGGGAAAAGGTGGCTCAGGCTTGGACATGTTGAAGGAACATGGAGCCCTTTAATTGCATAACTAGGCTTTGGAGGAGGGAATCTGCGCTGGGGGTTATCAACATGCAGGAGTTGGTGGGGACAAAAATATGGTCCTGGTGTCTGAGGAGTGCTGTGAGCAGGGCCTCTAGGCTGCACAACTTCAGGGGGTGTTGTGCATAGCTTATAGAATATGAAGTACGTGGTGTCTCTGGAGTTGTCCATGCAACAGAAGCATTTGGAAGGCGCCAGTGAGTGGCGAGTGCTCTTTCAAAGAGTTGACTGCGTAGGAAGAGAAAGAAGCTGGTGCTGGACAGGAAGTTTTCAGAGCCCTTGGCCTGTACTCTCCAAGTAGCCCCCCCAAAACACTCCAGCTGGGCCAAATGCCCCTTCTGCACCTGCTGTAGACCCCCATGCACCTGTCCAACTTAGCACACACAGCAGATGCCGCTCAGGCCCAAGTCACCTCCTCTCAGCACCCTCTGATTCCTCACCTGGAAAGTGCAGTTCTGAGAGGGCTGTAACTGCCTCTGTGCGGACAGAGATGCATCTCCATGCCCACTACTGGTCATTTGCCTTCTGCCCTCGGCACTTCCAGTTCTAGGGAGCCTAGGCAGCCCTGTGCACCACACCAGGCTGATGATGGCCYAGAGAAGATCAAGGGAGCAGGAGTGGAAGCAGAGGGAAAGGACAGGTGCAGCTGGTCCAGGGGAGAGGTGATAACGAACTTGACCAAAATGCCGGTGGTAGGGGTGGTGACAAGTGACTGGATTCACCATCTGTCCTGAAGGTAGAACTGGTAGGACTCACCTGATGGGTTGGGGTGGGGTGGGAAGGGATGACTCCTGGGTTTTGGGCCTGAACTGTGGGGAGAGTAGGGCCACTTACTTAGGTGAGGAAGACTCTGGGAGGAAGAAGCATGGATGTGCCCTATCAAGGATGCAGTCACAGACAATATAATTCTGAGATCTGTGCTAGGCATCCAGGTGGAGCTGCTGAGCCAGCTGAGTAGAGTTTGGGGGAGAAATCCTGCCTGGCCACTTGGACTCATCAGCATCCAGATGGCCCTCTAAGTTAAGGACTGGGTGATACCATCTAGGGAGAGAATGGCAAATCATCAAGTTGTTCCCTAAAGCAATGACACACAACTAAACTTTGCTGTGTGCTGGAGTCACATGTTTCCTGAGCAGGTCCTAGAAGCCAGCACTCAGAATGTCCTGGCCTTGGGGAGAAGCCCAGGAAGCCAATGCCCCAGGTGATTCCCATGCAGTGACATGGTGAGAGTGCCCTGAGGGGTAGGTAGAGGCGATATGGGGAAACAGAGGGCAAGGGATTCTGCCAGGGCTGGGATGAGCAGGTAGCAGGATTCTAAGAATGTTCCATGCTCTCCAGGGTCATTGCGAGGCCTTAAACTCCACCACCCTCTCCTTTCTGAGCAGGTAGGTGTACAGGTGTGACATCCTCCATCCAGGATTTTGCTGATCACACGCCTATCTGTATCCTTCCCCTGCTCATGCCCACTCCAGAGTCTATCAGCTCTGCAGATGGGACAATTCACTAATGAGAGCTGTTACGCTCTCAGTGGTAGGTTGCGATTTTTATCTAGGGAGACTCTGGGCTGGGGTCTGCAGGCAGATGTCAAGCACAAGCATGGCTCACTTTGCTCTGTAAGTCAAAGGATGGCAGGCTGCTTTATCTCAAGACGGGAGATCACCAGGTGAATATCCTAACTGCATATTGGCTGCAGGGGGCCCAGAGATCTGCTGCAGGCCTGCCTCCTCATCTCCACACCAAGGACTGTGTGCTCATACATGAAGCAGATCACAGAGAGCACAGAGCTCTTGTTGATATCCCCCGTCCTGAGCTCTCACCTGGGGCCAGGCCTGGCAGGCCAGCTGCTGAAAGACCTTTCCTTTGGAGGACACCGTTATTAAGCCAGAGCTCACCCTCTCCCCCTGCACCCGTCTCCCTTCCATGTCCATATTTCAYGTTTCTCATGAAGCTCAAGTGTATTGAGCACCTCTAACTCCACCCTGTCATCTTGTCTTGCCAACTCTTTCTTTAAAATGTCTTTTGAATCTGTCCCTTCTGCTGCCCCTGGTCAATACTGTCATTCGATTGGGCTGTTGTATCAGCCTCTGTAATGAAGTGAATATTGGTGTCCCTAACCCTGATGCCCAAACTCATCAGCTTCTGCTCTGACCCCCAATGAGATGGCATTGGAGGTGGGTCCCTTGGGAGGTGATTAGGTGTAGATGAAGTCAGGAGGGTGGGAGCCCTTGATGGGGTTAGTGTTCTTAGAAGAAGGGGAGAGGGGCCGGAGTCCTCTCCACCACGTGAGGACACAGTCCACAGAGCAACTGCAAGCCAGGATCAGGGGCCTCACCAGAACTGAATCAGCTGGCACCTTGGTCCTGGGCTTTCTAGTTTCCAGAACTGTGAGAAATAAATGTCGATTGTGAAAGCCCCCCAGGTTACACTATTGTCATAGCCACAGCTAAGAGCCCCCTTCCCTGCTTCTCTGCTTCCTGCCTCATCCCTCGGGTGGAATACCATTTCGTCCATGGCACTCATCACGGTATATTTGTCGCTGTGCTTGTCTGCTGGCTGGTTGCCTTTATAAGCAGATGGCACCCTCCATGAAGCCAAGCCCCTTTCATACCCAGGGCTGAACATCATGTCCAGCACATAGTAGGTGTTTGTGGAAGAAATGAAGTGCTGACTACAATAAAACCTCCCAAGCAGGTCTCCCCGCTTCCTGCCTCACCCCCTCTGACTCGAGCCTTGTGTTTCGGCCAGGGTGATGTTCTTAAGATATTAATTTCATTCCAGTCAGCCCTTCCTCATCAGTGTTGAGCCCCATCTCCTTTTTTTGAGGTTTATGGGAAATTAAGAAAAGTTAAGATCAATATGATAGTGAAGAAAGGTGATGAAGGCCATTAATAACAATGCCTTTAAATTGTGGGTTTGCTTCGAAAGAAACCCTCAAACCCATGAGCACTGCAGGAAATGAATGAGTCAAGCTTCCCAGTACCCAGTGGCCTCTAGCTCGGGCCTGATAAAATCAACCCTGACTCCTGGACCTGGCTTTTACAGTTACCAGGGTGCTGTCTCAGGTGGGCACAGCCCATGACTCCCCTTTATCTGCCATTCACAGGAGGGGCTCTGAGAACTTTTGCAGTGTAGGGGCCGCAGGGAGTCTGTGGGTGGGACCCAGGCTCATGGATTGGGTGTGCTCTGTGAGACTGTGAGCATGGGGGTGGTGGATAGAGATATTTTGGGAGGACAGGCAAACCCTTGACTACAGCTGTTAGCAAAGTTGGGAAAACACAGTTCAATAGAATTTCCTCTTCCGTCAATATGGGCCCATTTCACCCCTCGCCTTTCTAAAGAGGAAGTTCCGTTAGCTCACAGAAACACAGCATCACACACATTCCTCAGCCTGGAAAAGCCCTAGGAGGACGGTTGCTCAGACTAAGAACCATTGAGGCCTTCTCTTGGGGACTTTAATTCCAATTCCAGAGAAGTAGGCAAGTGTCCCATCCACCCTGTGGCCTGGGAGAGCTCTCAGCCCCTCCCACAGTCCTGCCCTGCTGGGCGCTCAGAGAGCAGCCCTGAGGCCCAGGAGCTAGAGCAAACTCCCACTCCTTCCACTGGAGCAAGCGGGGGCTGCCCTGAGAGCAGCATCATCTGACTCCATTCTGTCCTGCAGGGCGCTGCTCACGCTGCCTTCTTCCACCAAACTGGCCCCAATTTCTTCTGAGAATTTTCTTATTTCCTGAACCTTTTCCCCACCCCATGGTCTGCTTCATCCCACCTCCCAGAGGCCTTTTCCATGGGGAAGGTGCCACCTCCAACCCTCCACTCCCCTTTCCATCCTGACAATTCCAGGTGAAAGTACGAGCAGACTCCAAACGGTCAAGTTCATGGAAGGACATAAAATGGGCACTTTTCCAGAACTTACTTTCTCAGAGCAAAAGCAGGGAGAGACATGGTGGAGATGATACAGGGTAAAAGAGACGAGGTGTCACCTCCAGGGGGATCCAGGCTGGGGCAGAGTACAGCACACCAGAGGCTCAGGCCACGGGACTGTGGTTTGCTCCACCCACTGGGCTGAGCTCAGGGACAGTCAAACCCACGTGTGGCTTTTCGAGGAAAGAGAAGGCTGCTTTCGGAACAGAGTGCAGAGAGCTTCCGCAGTTATGAGAACTCCCCGGGACATCTCCCGGGCAAGGCGAGCAGGTGAGCTCCAGGAGGGCGGGGCTATCGCCTTCCTGACAGGTGGTGGGTTTCCTTTCCAGGTTGTCAGAATCCACGTCTGAAATGCTGCAGTGCACTTTCCACTGGTTCCTTTTCTCATCTCGTGAAAGAATCCTTGTGCAAACTCCTTCTCTCATTTTCACCCATTTCCAAGAAAAAAAATCTCCTTTACAGCCTTCATAACCAAGGACAGCTATTTTCACATGGGAACCCCACATGCCTGGCTCCATGTTAAACTCCTTTGACACATAATCTCATTTAAACCTCATAACATCCCTGTGGGGACTTGCCATCCCCACGTTACAGATGGGAAATTGGAAGCTCTGAGAAGATAAATCATTTTTTCAAGGTCACAGCAATACATGTGAGCACAGGCTCTTCATGAGGGCTCTGTCTGAGCAACACCCTCTTCATTAGCATCCCAAGTATCGTCAACTAAGTCAGCCACTGCGTCACCAGAAATCTGACTGGTTTCGCAAGATTTCCGTGGTCTAGACATTTATTGGAATAACAATACATCCGTCATTCATAGCGCTCCATGTTCAAGGCGCGTTTCCATTTTCTCAGGGGAACTTCATGTCCCTGGGAATGAGACGAGCCAGACATTCTTCTACAGTTTTACAGACAAGAAAACCGAGGCTCAAAGAGGAAAGGTGACTTGGCCATGGTCACATGGCTAGAAACAGAATTCTTTCCTGTCTTATGCTGCCTCTTCAATAAATAAAGGAGCAAAATAAATAAATAAGCTGTCAAGGAAACCCTGAGGAATCCTCTCCTGAGCATGTTGCCAGAGGGGCTTCACTTATCAGGCTGGTACCCAGGAGCTGCTTGGCAGAGTGGCAGGGGCCATGGGTGGGTTCCCTGGGCCAGAAGGCCTGTTTTCAAAATTCCACAGAGAAATTCAGGGCCAGGAGGTAGCTTGGGAAGGCATGCCCTTCTTCCCAGCATCCTGTCTGGGGACTGTCAATGGCCTTTATTTGAAGACAGATTTCAAATGGATAGTGGGGACGCAGAGCCCACACCTATCCCTCTGGACCTCAGAGATGGGCAGTTCTCCAAGGATGATCCCACAGACTGATGCTAGAACTATTAGCCCTTGCAGTGAGCAGGAAGCTCACTGGGAAGATTTGTTCCAGAGTCGATTTCCTCCCAGCACTGAGTTGGACAGGGTCTGAAATGTCACCCCCAGGGCCATCTTGGCTAACATCCAGCACAGAGACCCTCTAAAGATTGAGTCCTTATTTTGCAGATGAGGAAACTGAAGCCCTCTGAGAGGTGACTGGCCCAGGATCACATGACTGAACACCAAGCATGCAGGTTCCCAGCCCAGGGCCCTGACCTCTGGGTCTGTGGCTAGACATGAGCAGCAAGCACAGGTGCAAGTCCCAGCCCTGTCTCTCTGGTGATCTCCTGAGTTGATGCCCAAGCCCAGAGGTCACCTGAAGGCTGGTGGTCTGACCAGTCCAGACACCTCCCTGTGGGGGAGCTTCTCCCTGCCACCACACTAGAGATCAAGCTCAGCCTCTGCTCCTGCCTTCTCTCCCCAGAAATGACCCCTCCAGCGAGTCCCTGAAACTCCATTTTCTTAGCACTCCAACCTGCAGGAGGCTCTGATGCCTCACTAGCCTGAAGGAGGCATCAGGGTCTGAGCGGACTGCAACCTGGCAGCCTCACTACGACTCCAGAACCCCCTGAGGTTCCCCTGAGCACAGAACCCTTGACAGCACAGGAAGGAGTCCCAAGGAGGGGAGGTCTTTGCCCCGCCCTTAGTGCTGCTAGAGTCTGCAGGGCCCCATTGAGCAGCACAGGCCAATGCCAACCTCGTGCCTTGCGCTACTCCAGCGAGAGAGTCTCCTCCTGTCCTGTAGGGCCTGTCCAGGGCTGGCCCCGATAGGCTTGCAGAAAAATGCCCAGCCTGGCCTGCCTGATCCAGACAGAGGCACAGGCATGACTGAAACCAAAAGCAGCCCTGAGCCCAGGTCACTCATTCGAGTGCAGGCTGGAGATCAGTGGCAAGGTGACCATGTCTGAATCAAAGCAGCCCAGGGGACCTCCTGAGGCTGCCACACATTCCAGAGGGGCAAGGTCATGGATAAAACTCCAGTCAGCTGTTCCCAGGTCACCACAGCTGGTCAAGCCCAGGAGTGGCCATTCCTCAGGCAGTTGGTTCCACTGTCCGGCAGGGCCATCTGAGGGAGCCACAGTCACTCCTGGAGGATCCTGTTTTACATAGCCCTTGGCCAAGGCTGGCGGAGGCCAGTCTGCCTTGGCATCCAGGCACGTCCTGACCTGGGGGCCAAGGCTGTCTGTCAAGGGCGCCTCTTCCTCCAGGCCACCTGCTGTGGCTGCGTTCTCTTCTGTGCACCTGGTCTGTTTCAGGTAGCCCTGGAATGCCACCACGGCTGGGTCTTCCTCCTCGGGCACCTCAGGCCTCAGGAGACTGACCGGGCCCAAGGCAGAGCCGTCCTGTGCATCCCCTGGCTGCGCCTCAGAGCTGTGGACTAGGCCAATGCCACTGTCATCCTGGCCCTGGCTGGCTTTCTCCACCTGCTGCTCCCAGGTGGGCCCCCTGCCAGGGCACAGGCAGGGCTCCTGCAGGCAGATCCCACTGTCTGTGCTACTGCTGCTGCCACTACTGCAGCTGTCCTGTAGCTCTGTGGGGACCTCCGTTCCCAGAGCCCCACAGGCCTGGGGGTGGGGAGTAGGGAGGAGAAACTGGGGCTCTTCAGTCTGCAGGGATGGYTTGGCACTGCCAAAGCCACTGTCTGTGCTGCCATGCAGGTCTGAGTTCCTTAGCTCTGGGGACACCTTCGGGAAGGCCTCCTCATCAAGCAGGTAGACGATGTCTGGGCAGGGAGGCTGGTTCACAGCGCCAATGGGGCTGGGCTTCTCGAAGACCTGGGAGGAGAGGACAGAGTGAGATTGGTTGGAGCCACCTGCYGGAGCCCTCCCCAGAGCCACAAGGGAGGCCAGAGGCCCAGGAGGGGAGCATCAACAGAAGGGGACGACAAGGCCTGGAGGACTCTGCAGGCCGCTCTTTGGAATCAGCTTTTCCCCTGAGGCATTCTCTGCCCAGGCCAGATGCACACAAGCTGCGATCCTTAAAGCCAGATGGAAAGGGAGGCCAGGTGGAATGGGAGCCTGCAGGGAACCCCCGAGCCCCCAGGCGGCTCCACCCTCTGGGCTTTTCAAACCTGACAGCAGGCTGCACCCACCCATCTAGAAGTGTGCCTCAAACTTCCTGACAATGACCTCAAATAGATGCAAATATTACAAGACAACCTGTTCCTATAACTCATACAGAAGCAAATGGAAGCAGCTTCCCTGTGCRCCGCGACGGATCCTCTACTCTATCCCATCCCACCCATTTTTAGAAAAATTTCTGGGTGTGAGACATCAAATTAATCTCTCCACTTTCTGAGTTGTGACCTCCACAAACAGGGTGGCTGCAGCGTGGGGTGGTGGAACAAGTGCAGAACTAGCAGCTAAAGACCTGCTCCCCATCAATGGCCAAGGGTCCCAGGGAAGTCATTTGACCCCTCCCTCTGGCTCTCCTCTGCCCTAGCTGCAGTTGTGTTCTTTCTGTCCCAGAACAAACACGTCAGGGCCTTTGCACATGTTAATCCTTCTGCTTGGAATACTCTTCTGTCTGCACTTTGCATCGCTGGGTCCCCTCATTATTCAGGTCTCAGCTTGGATGTCACCTCTTCATCAAGCCCTTCCCAGCCATGCTTTCCACATGAGCCTTGTTTACTTCTTCCTAGTACTTAGTTCCTGGAAATAATACACACTCATTCACTCCCCATTCCCCAAAGAACCTAAGTTCTGTGAAGGCCAGAACTAGTCTTTTTGCCACTCTGTCCCCAGAGCCTGAATTGAGCTGGCACAAGTAGACACTCATAAGGTTTGTTGACTGACTTACTGACTCACCATTGCACAACTGCCCTCACTTCCTTAGTACACAATGATGCAAATGCAACTCTCACTGGCTGAGTCTCTATTATAGTCTCTTTTACTTTAAAACCATTGCTTAGTGTTAAAGACGTACACTCAGGAGCCAGGCTTCCCGAGTTCAAATCCCAGCTCTGCCTCCTATAAACGTTGTCAGTTGAACCAAAATACTTATCTTCTCTGTGCTTTAGTTCCTCATCTGCAGAGTGAAAACAATAACGGCACATGCCTCCTTGTGTCATTAAGGCGTGTAGTCATACCAAGAAGAAACTCAGGAAATATGTGCTCAATTGAATTGCATCCTCCAGTGATTTTTCAAGGGAAGTATTCTGACCTCTATTTCTTAGAGGAGAAAACTGAAGCACAGAGAAGTTAAATGGCTTTCCCAAAATCACACAGCAGTGAAGAGTAAATCTGAAATTTATACTCAATTGTCCTGTGAGATCCCCTGATTTCCAATCAAACTTCCCTGGATGGACAATTGAAAGAGCAGATCAAGCCAGCTAATGAACAAGGACAAACTAAAGAATGTGAAAGTGCTCTCAGCATTATACATTAGTGATGACTCGGATTCTTAGGGGAAGGAAATTGGGCTGTATTTAACCCAAGGAGAAAAAACCCTCCAGGACAAGTGAATTCTGTGATCAAATGTACAGAAGGAACAAAACCCCAGAAACTGCTGGTCATCTCTGCTGCTCGGATGTTATTTCTCTGCTTTGGGCTAAGCTCACAGTTTACATATTGGTTGTAATAAAGTCCCTTGGGACCAGAGGCCACATGAATCAGCTCCTTCCCAGACAGAACTGTGCATGTGATGGATGTTCAGTAACCAGCTCAAGCACCACCTCACACATTCTAGATGCCTCTCCTGACCCGGAAGTAGAATCTCCCATCCTGGGTCTCAGGACCACCCTCCTCCCACCCCAACTTTCTTCTAGCCATCTCGTCCCAGTCTCCCAGTGCATTCCTAAGCTACCACCCTAGCTCCAGGCCCTGTCTTGAGTGTATGCTCAAAGTGCATGGGAAACAGGCYGAGGAGCTGGCTCTCCCAGGAACACAGAGAAAGGATGATGAGTAGACACTTCAGCTAGACACAAGGAGATACTATAAAACCCCTGAGGGCTGTTTAAGCGTGCCTGCTCCAGTCTCCTCCTCATATCTGTCTACCCAGGGTACAGAGCAGGGGACACGGTGCTTTCTCACCTGGAAAAAGACTAATCAGGCCAGGCAGCCGGCCACGCGCGCACACACACACGGATCCAGAAGGTCCCACTCAAAACAACTCGGTCTCTCTCATCATTGTCCTTAGAGAGCCTAGGATCCTTCTGGAGTTTTCCACCACCATTGTGAGCTTCCCTGGGGCTCCCGCCTCCCTGCCCAAGCTGGGTCCTTTGGCACACAGTAAGGCCAGCTCAGGGGGCTGTTGTGGTGACCCTCCGTGCAGCCTGAGCCCAGGTGGGGGTGGGCTGAACTTCTGAACTGCTGCACAGTTCTTACACGATAACTTTTGGAGGCTGACATGCCACTCCCAGATGTGGCCCAGATGTGGCCCACTGGGACAGGTGGGAGGTCCTGGCCTCCTTTAAGAATCTTCCTCTCCACTGTCACCTCTCTACTCTGCCCCCTCCCTCTCTGACAGCTTGAACCCATCTTTCTTCCTGTCTTGTTGGGCGTCATTGCTCTTGGCCACTATGTGTAGGAAGATGGGCTCCTTTCATGACTTTTCCCGGCTGTACAAATCTGTGCATGGAACTGTCTCTCTGTCCTCACTTCTAAAATGAGGATAGTAACTGGTACTAATGTACAGGGGCTGGTCCATGGCCAATTATTAATAGAAATGACAAGACTTGTGGTCACTGGGGTTTGTGATTGCTCAGCATGTACCTGTGGTATCTGGGCTACTAGACGATAGTGTTCTCAGGACAGGGTTTTGTGTTTACTTCCCCCCTCTGTCCCCATGGTGCTTGATGAGGGTGCCCATGATAATGTCAGGGCTGAAAGCCGAGGTTAGCCAAGGGAATGGGCAGCCTGGGAGGGAGGGAGCTCTGGAGAGCCTGGGAAATGGAGCAATGGCCTCCCTGTGAGACTCACCAGGACCGAAGGCAGCTTCCTCCGGCGCCGCACATATAGCTGGAGGGTCAGACAGTAGACCAGGGCTCCACAGAGCAGCAGGACACAGGAGAAGAAGATGCTGAGGTTGGTCGCAGTGAAATCTGCAGGCAGACAGATGCATTAGTAACCTGGCACCATGGGGCACTAAGGGACTGTCCCCAGAGGTCCCTTGGCCACTCTGAGGAACTACTCAGTGAGTGACCCAGGCCACCCCTACAGGCAACTTCTTAGCCATAGTGAATCTCTGCCAGTCTTCCAACCTCTGTGTGGGGTCCCCTCGCTGGGCACACCAATTCTGCTTCCAGCTCTCTGCACCCAAGGCAAACAGAACAATAGGGCAGATGGCAGAGCAGGCAAGAACAGAGGCTTCTGGGGGCAGCCAGACCTGGGTTCAAATCCCCCAGCTGCACCACTTGCTAGCTGTTGGAGTGTAGACAAAGTACTTAATCTCTCTGAGCCTCAGTTTGTTCATCTCTAAAATGAGAAAAAATTATACCTTACAATATGGTTGTAAAGTATAATCTTGTCCCAAGAATTTTACTTACTTCATCAGGCCCTTCTAACAACCTGAGTAGATAAATATTATCATCACTCCCATTTCATAGATTAGGATACTGAGGCTCAGAGAAGCCAAGTCACTTGCCCAAGGTTACAAGCTAAGACCAGAACAAAACTATTTCTTCTATAAAAAAATTCTCTCTCTCTCTCTCTCTCTCTCTTTGGTACTTGGTATTAAACCCAAGGGCACTTTACCACTGAGTCACATCCCCAGGGTCTCACTAAGTTGCTTAGGGCCATGCTAAGTTGTTGAAACCTCCCTCGAACTTGCAATCCTGCCTTGGCCTCCCGAGTTGCTGGGATGACAGGCATGTGCCACCACATCTGGCCTTAAAAAGCTTTTAACACTGCCTGATGCGTCCTTGGTGCCTTAGTCTGCCCTGGCACTTCAATGACGATGAGTTGTTGAGTGTTCTTCGTACAACAGGCCCTACTGTGAAGTAGAGTAGCTGCCATCTTTGCTGGGCAGGGCACACTCTGCCCCCAGCCAGATGGCAGGATCTCCTGGTGGGCAGGACTTGGCTCCACACTGACATCTCTCCCCCACTACTGCTGACTTTAGCAGCTCTTCCCAGGAGACAGCTCAGTTCTGCTTCCTCTCGGGAGAGAGAGGGGGCAAGGAGAAGCCCTCGTACCCCAGCTCTGAGGAAGGTCAGTACAGACTGTAACAAACAGGAACTAGCACAGCTGACGGGGAGGTGGGGGTGTGGGGGGTCCTGAGGCGGTCCCTGGAAAGCACAGCTGTATGTAAGTGGCAGGACCCCAGAATCAGGGGACCTGGTTCTATGGGCCCACCCCTTCCTCGAAAGTTGTCTTCTTGGAGCTTTTCTAATATGGGACAAGCGACCTCTCTGATGGGCTGTGCAGGGAGAACTGGCTGCACAGGGCAGGGCCAGTGCAGTGACTGGCACCAGCAGCCTGAGTGAGGCTTTATGGATTGTGCCAGCCCTTCCAGGTCCTTCTCCACCCGGATGCCAATCTGAGCCCACTCACACTGCTTGGTGAGGACGATGCACTGCTCCTCCGACCAGACCCCCTTGTTCGTCCGGGAGGCCACAGATGGCCTCACTATGACACAGAACTTTCCCACCTCTCCTGAGGCTGTGATGTTGAAATTTTCATGATTGACCTTCTTCGTTCTCAACTGAAACCAAAACAAGAACAACAATGAACAAAATCCTCTTATGCCATGGTACCTAAAAGAGCTGGAGGCCCCCCTTTTTGGTGTGTGATACAGAGGATGGAGCCAGGCCTCCTGCATGCTAGGCGAGTGCTCTACCACTGAGCCCCAAATATCCCTGACCCTGGAGGGGCCTTCGAGAACCCCTTCAATCTATTCCTAAGATAATCAACTGTGATTATCAGTACAGCCCAGCATCTCTGTAATTACCACAACCAATTTTGCATTAATAGAGAAAAGGGAATCTTTTCTAGAAGCTGAGGATCTYTCTAGAAGGAACCTGAATCAATTGTGGTGAAGAGGAAAGAGGATGGATTTTGCCCATTCCAGATTTCCCACCCGCAGGGGTGCCCTTGGAAAGTTCCACATCCTCATCTGTAAAATGAAATAAAGTACCCACGCCGAGGGCGTCAGAAACAAGATCCATCACATGTTTTGAGAGCTGCTGACACCTGGCAGGCAGTGCCTTCCCCGCAGGAGTGTGTGTTCGAGGGCAGAGGTCATTTCAACTCCTTCCTCAGTACCCAGGTTCTTTCTACTCTGCACAAAGGTGATTCTAGCCCAGGGGACAGGGAAGCCTTGGAGACCCCGTACCGGAAAGTTTTCTGGCACCTTGCGGATGGCAATCTCATACTGGCGGAAGTGACTGAAGATGTTTTCATACGTATCACCTTCAGGGGCCATCTGGGGCCTGGGGGGCTGGATTGTCCCAAGAATGGAGTCCTCGTGCACCTCTAGCTTCACGCTTCCAACCGTCAGTGTCACTGAATGGGGAAGGGACAAAGCCATGAGGCTGAGGCATGGAGAGGGCCTGGAGATCCCACCCATGACTTTCCTCCAGGGTCAAGTTTACCTCCCCCAAAACCTAGGCCACAGGTTTCCAATCCCACAGAACATATGAACTTCTTGGGAAATGTTTGAAATATAGATGCCCTGGGCCCTCTACAGACATAGGGAACCTGAATTTTGCAGGCTGGACCCTGGAAATACACACACACACACACACAAACACACACACAAATACATATGTACACATAAATGTACATATATACATATGTATTATATATTTATTTGTTTGTTTGTTTGTTTTTTAACTGACAATTTAACCCAGGGTGCTTTACCACTGAGCTATATCCCCAACCCTTTTTATTATTTTTTAAAATTTTGAGACAGGGTCTCACTAAGTTCCTTGGGCCCCTCTGAGTTATTGAGGCTGGCCTTGAACTTACAATCCTCCTGTCTCAGCCTCCCAAGATGCTGGGATTACAGGCATGCGCCACCTTGTCTGGCTAGAAATATATTTTAAAATACACTCCCTAGAAAATGTTTCTGCAGCTGGCTGAGCACTGGCAGGTGAGCAAGCATTTGGGAGCCTTCTAGACCATCGACTCCAACTGGAATCCCGCAGAGCAGAACTTGCACCCAGACCAAGCTCAGTCCCAATTTGTGGAATAGAAAAATCCCACTGGRCTTGAGGCTTCATCATTTCTTAAGCAGCACTTTCCTGCTCCAAAGGATGACCCCTGGGAATTCTCCCCTGCAGGTGGGAGGACCAAATACGCCCACTGCTCCAGGTGCTATGCTGAGTGCTAATGGATTCACTTCCTTTCCCTAAACTCCACAAGTTCACAGGCCTGGCCCTCATGACTCAGCGGCTCCAGTACACCCCAAGACCTCCCTTCTGTAGGATAAACAACTCCAGTTCCCTTTTAAATCTCAGAAAACTTGGCTGTTTTCATCTAACCTCTCCAAAGACCTGACTCAGGCCTGTTTGGGTAACTAGTTCCCGGCTAGAAGGTCTGATGACGGGAGGAGATATGGGAACAGAAAGAAAAGCCTTAGGCTAGAGTTTCTGGCTGGAAAGAAGCCAAAGCCATGCACTAGTTCCAGGGGGAAGTAAAGCACCTTCATCCACAGAAAAGCGGGTTTGGGTGATAGTCCAATTGGAGTGCCGCCTGCCATCCACTGCCCGGACCTTGGCCCGGTAACCGTTGTTGTGGTACAGGTCCAGGGTGGCTGCGGTGAGATCACAGAACTCCAGGGCACCCCTACAGCTGGTGACGTTTTCCCAGGGCTGTCTTCCGTACCTGAAGAGATATCAGGGTAGGCGCTAGGGCAGGAACTGTGCTCAAGTTTACTCCTTTAAGAGGGCTTCCAGAGGTCTGGGCAGAGAGCTTCCATCATGGAAGAAAGGGGAACACGCTCAGGATATTTCCTGTAGTTCAGGGCATCTAATTGCAAGGGGTCTCTGGTGGTTTGGGGACCTCCTATCAGCTTCTCTGTGGTGTAGAAGACTCAACAGAAGGAATAGGAGTAGCTCAAGTGCTATCCCTCCAGAAAGGCCTTCGGGCCCTGTCCCTCAGCCTTCTTTCTAACTTCTCCCAGCTACATATGCAGACATATGGTTTCCCTGTTCTCCAACAATACTGTGGAGGCTATCCCSGTAAGATGGAGAAACCTGGTGGGGGAAAGCCAATCTTGGCCTTCTCACACCAGAGATCCCAGCATGCTGCTTAGTATAGATGGGGATGTCAGCTGGGTAGATATGTTTCAGGGTCCACTGTTGTTGTGTTGCCTCAATAACGAGGCAGGCACCTTCCTGTGAAAGGGGAGCAGATGGAGACCAACTGGCCCATCCCCCACCGCCCTTCTCCTCCCTCCATCCTCCCCTTTTCTTACTTCAGGAGTGCCACTTCATAGTAGGTGCTTTCGGACTGATTAGGGATGGGTGTCCAGTGGAGGATATGCTGGAAAAATTCTGCTTCAAACCACACAGATGAAGGGCTAGGCAGTTCCGCTCCTGGGGAGAAGAGATGTCAATAGCTTGTAGAATCCATCCCCTGGGACTAGGAGGACCCAAATCACTCCCCACGGGAAGAAGCAGTCCCATCATGGCACCAGAAAAGCAGAAAAGCCATGGCTAAATTTTTGCTTTGTCAAGAAGTACATTTGAATTAAAAAAAAAAAAGTGGGGAGCTGGAGGTGTGGCTCAGCGGTAGAGCACTTGCCTAGCATGTGTGAGGCACTGGGTTTGATTCTCAGCACCACATACAAATAAATGAATTTTAAAAAAGTCCATCGATGTCTAAAAAAATAAAAAATAAAAAAAGTAGGTGGGTGAGTTTTTGAGTGGGGAGGGGCTATTGATCCCCCACACCATTAATCTCAACCTCTTCCATTTCTACTTCCAGGGGGTGATGGTGACAAGAATTAGAATTCATTTGCTGGGTCCTCTGCAATAAGCTGAGCACTGTGCTAAGTGTTTTGCTATGTTCCATGTCACATCAGCCCTGCATGGAGAACATTTATTGCCCCCATTTTACTAAAGAAGAAATGGAAGCTCAGAGAGGGTAAGTGACTTGCTCAAGGCCAATGGAGCTGGTAAGAGGTAGAGTGTGGACTTGCCCCCAGATGTGTCTGATTCCAGAGCTAGGGTTGGGTCCTGCACTGTTGGTGACCAGAAGCTCAGTGGTGGATGAGAAGACAGAGCTGGGTCCCACACAGCCCAGGGGAAAAGACAGGGGGAGGCCTGAGGCATGTCAGCAGCAAGCTCAGATGAGCTAGTTTCTGGCTCTGCCTGAACACTGTCTTTGCTCCAGTATCATCCTAAGGCCTGTCCCCCACCCCTACACCTGGTCCCCACCCAATCCCAGTCCAAGGCCACTTTTCTGGCTACACAGACATCTTACTTATTGACATCTGCCTGGGCAGATGGTCTCTTGGGCCACTCAAACTGAGGGCTGGTTCCATTCCCTGAATCCTAGAAGGGCTTCACCTATAGTCAGATACCCACCTGAGGCTAGGCGAGGACAGCCAGGAGTCAGCCCTTGTTTTAGACTGTGCTAAGGACCTCTCCTCAGAGAACTAGCACCCTGGATCTAAGGTGAGATTTGAAACACCAAGCTCTGTCTCCATGCTACCATCCTCTCAACCCAACACACCATTCACCACAGACAGCACTGGTTCCAGGAGCCTCAAACTAGCCCTTGCCAATGTGGTGCTAAGCACAAAGTACAGTGAAGGTCGATAGCAAATGGGTTCCCCTAGGGCGTCTTCTTTGACAGTGGCTCTGCCCCCACTTGCCCAGTTCTCTAACTTCTCAACATCTCTCAAATCTTGCTTTCTTTCTGACTCTGCCATTTTCATTTAGAAAATATACCCCCACTCACACACACACACACACACACACACACACACACACACATATGGGGTCTGGCTAAACTGCCTCGGGTAACCTTGAACTTTTGATCCTCCTGCCTCAGACCTTCCTGTCTCTTACTTCCTTTCATTTACTGTCTTTGAGCATTAATTCTGTTTCGTTGCAAAACATTAGATGGAAAGTGAAAAACTCAGCAAGTCTTTGCAGGGTTTGGGCTGCATATCCCCACCTGAGTCCCTGATCATGTGAAAGTGTTTTACTTTTTATTTTGACATCATGTAGAAGATATTTGGGTCCCTGCTCTCCTTGCATCTGCTTTTGGTCCCTCCAACTCTGGGCCCTTCCATTCTCTCTTTCTGGGGCTTCTTGGTTGCAGAAACTCAGACAGAGTTAAGAGATGGGGTAAGGCAGGAGGGAGGCAGGGAGCAATGGGAGTGAGCTGGGGGGCTGAAGACCATCTCTGATGGTCACATAGGAGTAATCCATAGGGTGGGGAAAGGGCAGAGATGGAGGTGAGACCAGAAGGCAAAGGGAGAGGAGAGTCAGAAGGGGATCAAAATATCAAAATCACTCCCCACGGGAAGAAGCAGTCCCATCATGGCACCAGAAGAGCAGAAAAACCATGACTAAATTTTTGCTTTCTCAAGAAGTGCATCAAAAAAAAAAAAAAAAGTGGGTGGATGAGTTTTGGAGTGGGGAGGCGTTACTGATCCCCACACCCCTCAATCTCAACCTCTTCCACTTCCACAACAGGTGAGCCTGAGACTCAGTCTTGCCAGAGTGAAGGAGCCCCGGCAGGGACAGGGAGGTTATGAGCATCCCTCTCCGAGAGGGTAGCTAAATCGAGTTCCCTGTGGGAAGCAGAACATAAAGGAGGGCCGAGGACCGACGGACGGGAGTGGGATCTGGCCATCCATACAGCCCAGCGGGGCAGCCGCGAAGAGGTCGAGGCATTCCTCTACTGACTTAATTCTTCTGGAGTTATGTCCACGACATCTCCCAGTCCCTCTTGGTTTCCCTTGCTTGCCTGAAATCGCATGGTTAGAGCTGGTGATATAGCACTGCTCCGGGACCCGGAGCCTTACCGTGCGCACTGGAGCCAAGGCACAGGCTGAGGAGCGCCGCCAGAGGCACTACCAGGCGCGACAGCATTCTGGGCGCGCCGCATCGTCCGGAGCCGCCCGAGAGCCTCCTGCCGCTGCTCCGCTGGACTGAGACTGGCGGCTCTAGCCGCTCGCCTAGCCCGCGCCCGGGGCTGGGGGGCTGACGTCAGTGGAGGCGGGGCGGGGCCTCTGTGCGCCCCGCCCCTTCGGCACCGTGGCCTTAGTTTGACAGTGCTCCGTGCACTAGCCCCGCTGGCCAAAGAGGCAGGGCAAGTCTGTGCAAGTCTGTGCAGAGGCAGAGAAGGCTGCAACCAACTCTGCCCTTCTCCCCATTGGGCTTCCAGCGCCAATGAAACTGTGTGTGTGTGTGTGTGTGTGTGTGTGTTGGAGTGCAGATGGCCTAAGACAGCTTTGCCCTAAAGGGCAGCACCTGGGTTCAGATCAGCTAATTATATGAGGCTACCAGGCTCAGAATTGTTCCTGTGGCCAAGATGGCCCTGAAATGGGGAAGCAGACTATTCCAGGTGCTGAATGCAGATGTCTGAGGACACGTGTGTGATTCTCAGTGTTGCCCTAGGACCTCTGTGCAATCTTCTCAGCTAAACTGACTCTAGAGTAGGTGTTGCCTACCTGACTTATACTTTTAGAGGGGTATCCACGACATCTCCCAGCCCCTTTTGGTTTCACTGGAGTTTCACTGCTGGGGTACCCAGTAACATTGGAGCCAACACTTTTGTGTCACATGACTCAGCTGAGACTGCCCTCCGGGTGTGCTAAAGATGTAAGGGTGTGGGAGGAAAACTGTCACATCACTTTTTATTGGAGGGTGAAACTTGCTACATACATGCATACGCTTGCAGTGTGCATATGTGCTTGCACTCACATATGCAGTAGTCAATCTGTCTAGATTTGGATTCATTTGTGATGTTGAGCATGTACTTGTGGGTCTTCTTGCCAGTGTCTATACTGGCTGACCTGGGAGCCCTGTTCTTATTCTCAGGACATGGGAACAAAAGAAGGGGGACTTGACATTTCCAGGCTCAGCCTGGGGTCACCAGGCTCTCTCTGTTCCTGGGATGTTTCCTTGGTAGTATCCAGAGCCCACACTGAAGGCCTATCTTGAGAAAGCGGACCCAACTTGGATAGGTGTGCATGGCACCCGAGTTAGTAAGAATGGCTTGTGGAGATACCCTGTTGTGGGAGTGAAAGAATTTGAAAGTCTTACTCCATTACAGCTTTTTCTTAATTTTTTTTTATTTTTCCCCCAATTACAGTTTTGATCAGCTCTGTTACCCAGTGGTCTGGACCGAGAGTATTCTAAGTTGGCTGAGGGTAAGAGTTGGGGGTCCCATCTGTGCCTGTGGGTATACATTGGGACTAGAAATATTTTATTCTTGGTCAGCAGTGGCCAGGGTGCCCCAGCTATCTGGGTAATAGAAAGTGGTATCCGCTTGGCCCACCAGGACATAGGATCAGTTAAGCCCTCTCTTGAGGTACAGCTCCTGTTACCACACCCTCAGATCAGCCAGGAAGGAGAGCTCCAGGTTTGTTTTAAAGTGTAAGAATGGTTTTTGTACTTACTGGTGCTCAGCTGAGAACTTTAGATGACAGATTGCCCAGGAGTACCCAGGCGTGATGCAGGAGGTGTGGCTACCTTCTGAAATGACTTCTTAGTTCCTGTTAACCTTTTTAAGGAAGAGAATGCTGTGATATTTCTTTCTTATCTTGCCTTATTGCCTTTAGTTTTTGTTGAGTGTGAGAATTTGAAAGTTTTACTCTGTTACTCTTCTGATCAGGATTCTTCATTCATTCACATGGTCATGTGCACACTTATAACCCAGACATTTGCTGATGCTGGGAATTAACAGGTGATCAAAACCAAGTCTCTTACCCAGGGAGTGATCTAGTTAGAGTGAGAAACAGTAGAGATTTTGATAATCTGTTGCAAGTGTTCTGGGAAGGGAAGTATAGACTAACTTTGGACACAGGGCAGAGACTCAATCACACTAGCAGAGTGACCCAGTGGAGTGTCGGGTGATAGGAAGGGTGCTTCAGACAGGTAAGTGTATGAGGATAGGTATTGGAGATGAGAGAATATGACATTTTTGGAGAGCCCTATAAAATGGGTAAGTTGGCATTTATGTTTTGGAATGTGAAAACTACAGTGGCTGACATAGGTTAACACCTTCCTGAGTGCAGAGCCAGCCTCTGAATGCAGGATATTTCAACATATCTGCCGCCTCATAGAAAGCACCCAGAGTAAGAGTTATATCAAGCATGATTTCTATATCTTAATTTTTTAAAATAAAGCTTATTAGTTTGTTTTGTTTTGTATTCACTTACTCATTCTCAGTGTTTGGACAAGTCTATCTTGAGGTTCTGGGATTTCTGGTATCCAAAACAGTATTAGGACAGATGATAGAAAGTAATTATAACAGTATCTTGAATTTATTGAGTTCTTAACAGTGTATCAAGCACTATGCTAAATACTTACTGTAGCAGAGCCTGGCCAGAGGTCTAGCTAGCAATCTCATTTCCTCTTCCTGGGTACATGTGGGGCAACTAGAATTCCCTGTCTCCCTTGAAGTTCGGTGGAATATGTGGCTGAGTTTTAGCCAATGTGAAATTGAACTGGTGGGTGTCAAGTCCAGCCTGTCTTTTAACTCTGTGCAAGTCTGTCAGCTACGTGGAAGGTCTCCAGTAGAGGACCCCAAGGGAATGGAAGGTCTTGGGTCCCTGAACCACCATTTGGAGGAGAGCTGTGCAAGAAAGACACCTAATCCTCATCAATTTGTTAAACAAGTGGGGAATTAACCCTTGTTGTATCAAGCCACTGGGCTTTTGAGATTTTCCTTATAGCAGTTACCGTTGACTATCCTGATTAATCTGCAAACATGGTCTCATTTACTCCTTATAACCACCCAGTGGAATGGAGTTTTGTAGATGGGGAAGTGAGGTCAAGTGAGATCAAGTCACTTGCCCTGATCTCTCAGGACTAAATGGTAGGACTAAGAGATCAGTTTGGGTCTGTTTTATTTCAGAGCCCATATTTCTACCATGTTGGTACAGTCTCCTTTTCAATCTCTGAAGAGTTCTTTGTGAGAGACTAATTTAAAAAGACGAGAGAGAGAGAGAGAGAGAGAGAGAGAGAGAGAGA